AAGCAAGACCTGAGGATTATTAAGGCCTTTACCAGTTCCTGACAGTCCTTGGAGAATGATATCGATGGACTTCATTGTAGAACTGCCACCATCAGAAGGATGTTCAGCTATCTTTGTTATAGTGGATCGGTTTTCTAAGATGGCTCACTTCATTGCCATGAAGGGAGTACCATCTGCAGCAGAAACAGCCCAAATCTTTGTAAGAGAGGTGGTGAGGCTCCATGGTGTCCATGGTGTCCAAGGGAACATCGTCTCGGATCGAGGGGTGCAATTCACCTCGAAATTCTGGAAATTCTTCTCTTTGCGAGAAGTTGAAAGTGGGACCCTTACTCTCTTCCGCCTATCACCCTCAGACCAACGGCCAAACAGAAAGAACCAACCAGACCTTGGAACAGTACATCCGTTGTTTCACGTCCCTTTCCCAAGATGACTGGGTATCACTTTTACCCTTGGCTGAATTTGCATATAACAATTCAAAACACTCGGCCACAAAACAGTCTCCCTTCTTCTCTAACTATGGATTTCACCCTGCATTCATTTCCAATCTAGTGCCTGAATCAGCAATCCCAGCAGTCCAAGATACATTTGAATTCCTTCAACAGAACAACAAGATGCTACAGGAGACAATCTCAAAGGCTCAGCTAGATAATAAGAAATTCTTTGACAGAAAAAAGAAAGGGGACCTGGTCCTGGAACCTGGCGAAGAGGTATGGTTGTCAACAGCCAATCCTGTCCTGTCCCAAGCCTGTTTTAACCTGTCCCTCAAGGAAGTTAGGCCCCAAATTCATGGGACCTTTTCCAGTAAAAAGGAGAATTAATGATGTAGCATACGAGTTCACACTACCAGAATCACTAAAATCCATCCCGTATTCCACGTATCGTTGCTCAAGACTGCAGTTTCTAACCCCTTTCCAGGTCGGGAATTGGGGCCACCTGAACCAATGATCATCGACGGCGAAGAGAAGTATGAGGTAGAAACTATTGTTGACTGTAGGAAAAGGAGGAACCAACTCCAATATTTAATTAAATGGAAAGGTTATGGACCTGAAGACAATTCATGGAAACAGGAGTTTAACATCCACGCTAAAGATTTAATTGTGGCATTCAAGCGCAGGCATCCAGAGAAGATGGCCCAGTTGGGCATCCGGAGGCTGCCCTTAGGGAGGGGGCACTGTCAGGGATCCTGCTGCCGTGCAGCCGTGCGACAGATCCCCTCGGCCCGCAGCGGTGCGAGTGCGCATGCGCGGGAGCGCAAGTGCGTGCATGCGCAGTAGCGTACACGTCACCACAAGGCGGGCTATTTAAACCTGCAATACAGTATAATCAATGGTGAACAAAAGCAGACAAGGGCGCACTCTCATCGTGCATTACCATGGTACACCACATATTTATTGTGTAGAAAAATTAATATATACTCACAAACTAAAAGGAAATTAAAAGCAGGATAAGTAGTCCGCAATAACAGTCAATGCAATACTGTGTCCTTAATAGCCCTTAATAAATGTATGCCTGCTGGTCCCAAGCTTATATATCAAAGAATGTCAAGAAAAGGGTAAAAAGGCCCTCCCACCCACTCCAAGCGCCCCAATCCCAGAGAAGGCCGACCTGCCCACAAAAAAAAAAAAAAAAAACAAACACAAATAGTGTATATTAAAAACGTATACCTGAATGAACATACAATATACACTATATGTTTTTTTTTTTTTGTGGGAAGGTCGGCCTTCTCTGGGATTGAGCCGTTTGGAGTAGGTGGGAGGGCCTTTTTACCCTTTTCTTAACTTTCTTTGGTATACAAGCTTGGGACCAGCAGGAATACATTTTAGCTCTGAGGAAGGGGGTTCGTCTCCGGCAACACGTCAGCTTATCCCTATTTAGGGCACAGTACTGCATTGACTGTTATTGCAGACTACTTATCCTGCGTTTAATTTCCTTTTGGTTTGTGAGTATATATTCATTATTATACATAAATAAATACGTGGTGTACCACAATAATGCACGATGAGAGTGCGCCCTTGTCTGCTTTTGTTCACCAGTGTCCAGATTTCCCGATCTTTGAAGAGCAGCACCTCTTCATTTGGTATTCTGAATATCCTTTGGTCTGCATGAGGACTTGAGTGCTGGTTTCATTTGTTTGTCGTTGGATTACAGTATAATCAATGCCTTCTGGTCTAGAACATTCTGCACGCCATAACCTGATTCTGTTGCCTGTATCCTGATCTGACTTGACTAAGAAAGAACTCCGCCTGCACCGACCCCCAGCTATCCCTGACTATCCGCTTGCCTGCTCCCTTGTACCTGATTTGCTTGTTTGATCCTGACCCGGCTTGTCTGACTCTGCTGCACCTACTTACCTGTATCTGCATCTGGCTTATATCCTGATTGCCGCCATACTTACCTGCTGCTGCACCCATGGTCCTGCACCAGGGCTCTATCCTGGTCACTGCCATATCTGCCTGGTGACGCATCCACGCTCCTGTGTCCAGTCCCAGTCTGCATCCTGATTGCCGCCATACCTACCTGCTGCTGCACCTACGTTCCTGCAACTGGATCTACTGGGTCTTCACCTACCTGCCACCAGCTCCAGACCTACCTGGCACTCGTGCCACTCCTGGATCTGCGCCCTCTGTTCCCATTATCAGGGGCTCTGAACAGGAGTCGTAAGAGGACGCCTCCTCTCCACATCAGGCTTCCCAACCAGGCACGTGACATGCATTCAGAGATGGTATTCTGCATACCTTGGCTGTAACGTGTTGTTATTTGAGTTACTGTTGCCTATCATCTCAAACCAGTCTGCCCATTCTCCTCTGACATCAACAAGGCAGTTTCATCCCCACAACTAGCGCTCACTTGATATTTTCTTATTTTCAAACCATTCTCTGTAAACCCTAGAAATGGTTGTACAAGAAATTCCCAGTAGATCAGCAGTTTTTGAAATACTCAGCCCAGCCTGTCTGACACTAACAACCGTGCCACATTCAAAGTCACTTAAATTCCCTTTCTTCCCCATTCTGATGCTCCGTTTGAACTTCAGCAAGTCATCTTCACCTTGTCTACATGAACTGAGTTGCTGCCATGTGATTGGCTGATTATCAATTTGTGCTACCAAGAGATTAAACAGGTGTACCTAATAAAGTGGTTTGTGAGTGTATATCCATGCTAGCATGTTAGATTCCAGATATATGTCCTGAAGCACTGAAGTCCTAAGCAACCCTATTGAGCACCTTTGCAGCATCCGTGGACAGAAGCCCCATTTCTATTTTCATGGACTTAGTACAATAAACTTCATTTCTAGCCTTGGTCATGTTGTCATGTGCTTTCTGGCCAGGGACAAATTCTACCTGATTGCTTTTGATCAAAGTAGGTAATGGGTAGTAGGAAGATTGTAAAGATCCCAGTAAAGAGCTTCACATTAGGCAGAGAACTAGGACAGTAGCTGGTCCACTCACGAGGATCCTTCCCTTCCTTAAGGATCATGGTAATTTTGGCTTTTAACATTTGGGAGGGGATCGGAAGGGTAGAATTCTGTTCATTTAAGGCTTTCAAAAAAGGAGGAGCTAGCATGTGCTAGAGTATTTTAAAGTATAGTGAGGGGAGGCCGTTCAGGTCTGGAATCTTTCCAGTTCTTTGTTTAAAAACAGTCAAAAACTCAGCAGAGGAAATAGATGTCTCTAGGCATTTAGCAACAAGAGCATCCAAAACAAGCATGTCAGATTTTTAAAGAAAGACCTAGATATGGAGTGCATATCCAGCATTGTGTACAGTGTAATCCATCTGTGGTAGTATGTTGTAAAATAATTTACAGTATTCCTAAATTTCTTTATTTGTTATATCTGGAGGAGATTAGATAATGTGTTTAGTTCTCATTTCCTTATTGAGATCAAAGTAATTTAGTCTTGATGGCCATGGCCAAAAGAGTTCAGTCTCCTGGACTATTACCTACAATCAGAGGTCGATAGTATAGTTTGCCCACCAATGTTAGGTACAGTATCTTCTTAGGATGTAGCGTGGACTTCATAAATTAAGTTTCTTCTTTAAGAGTTTAGAAATCCTGCATCATAATATTGAGCATTTGTTGAAGGTATCCAAAAACAGATGCAAAGTCACCTCCAGTTATAGCAGTAATATTCGTTATATTCTCCATCACATTTGGCATTTCTGCTAACTCTATGATGTTAGAAAAGAATGCAGGATTGAATGTGCAAAGGTATGAACTATTGCACTATAGGTTTTGATGTGTTCCTATAAATACCAACGTTAGCAGACTTATGAGAGAAAGGCTGGCTCAAGGAAAGTTCTGAAAAATCTTGAATTCAGCATATGAACTTCAGCATAGAGTGCATTCATCCTGGTGAAAGATATAGGTTATTCAAGGATACAACTGCATCCATAAGCTACAATGGGGCCTGAGTTCAGGGAGAAACCTCATAAATGTCTGAAAAAGGAATGCATATAAAATATCTGCTCACTTTCTTCATTCATTGACTGACTTCCCCTTTCAGTTAAGCATTGTTCTGACTGCTGGCTGAAGGGGTGAGGAACAGAAACTACTTTTCACCTATGTTAACTACCTGAACTAGCTTAGTCTAAAGTGACAACAAAGGAGAAGCTCAAGAAGAAGGAAGTTTCTGGAGTAGCTATAATTGCTGGATTATGAGGTGACCCATTCAGAATGCTTGCTTACAACTTGTTATTGTTAAACCATAGTGACAAAGGGTGAAAAAAAAAAAAGGCTATAGGTTTGCCTAAGCCTGACAGTCAATGCAAGAAAATGTAAACAAAGGTGCATTATATAGGCCACCTATAGCTTGTTGGGAGCCCCATCCACATTTTACTGTGGGGCCCTGTGATTTATGGTTATGTTACTGAGTTTAATAAGTTTTTTTTTCTTTTTTTTTTTCTTTTTTTAAAGTGATCTGAAACACAGATCTAAAAGATTATGAACATATACTGTGATTTAGGACACCATTGTAAACTCTGTGATCTTGGTTTAAACCACTTACTGAATAGTAGGTCTTTTCCACTGTGTTCTTTTAAATTGATGGCTGACATAATACGTTCTACCAAGGATATCTTGTCTCTCTTCCCAACCTGGAGGTAGTGGAGAATCTTGCTGTTGTGGCTGGCAAAGAACATCTGGTTGGTCCAAGATAATCCAGCCGGGCTACAAGACAAAAAGGTGTTGTTACTCCTGGAGAAGGGTTCTTTATGTGGTTTTATAATCAAAAGCGAGGGAAACTATGAACATAAAGTATACCACAGTTCTAAAGTGTCTCCATAGAAGACATTTTTGAAGTAATTGTGGGAATTAGCCCAGGTTAAGCACAACTACACAGGCAAATTAGAAACAATTTTAAAGATGAGTTCCAGGCATAGTATATTTTACATAGTTGCATTGGTCCAACTTGGACCAATGCAACTATGTATACTGCTCAAAAGAATTAAAGAAACACTTTGAGCACATGTCAGATCTCAATGGGGAAAAATATCATGCTGGATATTTATACTTATATGGACTGGGTAATGTGATAGGAAAGCAACGATGCCCCATCAATTGATGGAAATTAAAATTATCACCCTACAGAGAACTGAATTCAAAGACACCATGAAAATTAAAGTGAAAAAATAATGGACGGATGGTGTCCTGGGGCAATTCCTCCCAGATCTGGACCAGGGCATCACTGAGCTCATTGGCAGTCTGGCGGCTTTGGATGGACCGAAACATTATATCCCAGATGTGTTCTATTGGATTTAGGTCAAGCGAGTGTGGAGGCCATTCAATGGTATCAATTCCTTCATCCTCCAGGAACTGCTTGCATACTCTCCCACATAACACCGGGCACTGTTGTGCACCAGGAGGAACCCAGGACCCACTGCACCAGCGTAGGGTCTGACAATAGGTCCAAGGATTTCAACCCAATACCTAATGGCATTGAGATTGTGCTGGGAGACACAGCAAACCTTCTGGCAATGGCACGTATTGATATGCCATCCTGGAGGAGTTGGACTGCCTGTGCAACATCTGTAGGGTCTAGGTATCACCTCTTGCTACAAGTAGTGACACTGACTCTAGCCAAATGCAAAACTAGTGAAAAACAGTCAGAAAAGATGAGTAGGGGAAAAAAATGTCAGTGGCCTCCACCTGTACAACCATTCCTGTTTTGAGGGTCATCTCATTGTTGCCCATTTAGTGAACCTGTTGTTAATTTCATTAACACCAAAGCACCTGAAACTGATTAACAACCCCTCTGCTACTTAACTAACCAGATCAATATCAAATGAGTTTAATTGTCTTGATGCTATAATCTGATTAAAAAGTGTTCCTTTCTGCTCATAGCCTTGTCATCTTTTTCCTTTTGTACTCCTCCTTCCTTTTCTATTTCTGTTTGTTTTTTGGTGTGGCGGTGGATAGCTGCCTTAGGTTTGAGTTATTGTCAATGTTTATACCAATGTTTTTGTCATTTATATGCCATTGATAGCCCCTGCGTGAGCACAATTTTTGCTCTGTTGGTGTTCGAGCACTGTTTTCTATAATTTTTTATGTGCAATTGATGGTCCCTGTGTGGGCGTGTCTTGTTGCTCCTGTTGTTTTTTTTTATGTTTTTAAACTAATAAAAATCATTGAAATACAGAAAAAAAAAAGTGTTCCTTTACTTTTTCTGAGCAGTGTATATACCATACCTGGCCAAAGTCCTTGGAAGCTGCAAATCACTGAAGTAGACGCTGCAACTTTAGTGATCTCCATTCTGAAAGAATGCAAAGCATTCTCTGATTGGAGAAAATGAAGAGTGTGACTTCACTACCCTGCCCCTCCACCTTGTCCAAAAAATTCATTCAGAAAGTGCAAAGTAATCTCTGAATAGTGCCCAAGCCAAGCGGCCAACCTCCTGTGTTCCGAATGCATCAGGTCAGCAGCTCTGCACGTGACCCTGAAGCCAGTGGAGATCACTGGAGTAGCATTGTCTATTTCAGTGTTTTCAAGCTTCCAGGGACACTGGCGCTAGGTATGATACTGTATATACAGTTGTGTTCAAAATAATAGCAGTGTGTTGAAAAAAGTGAATAAAGCTCAAAATCCTTCTAATAGCTTTTATTTCCATACACAAATGCATTGCGAACACTACACATTCTATTCCAAATCAAAACACGAAGAAAAATATATCAAATTTGTGTTGTTCCTCTAAAGAAAATAAAATAAAAGTAAATATTAGACTGTTTAAAAAAATAGCAGTGTTTGTATTCTTCTTTACAAACTCAAACATTCACTATATAAACTGAAAAATGTTTGAAGATTTTGCTTTCCTTTGAATCACTTAATGAATATTTCGTTGTATAAGCACTGTTTCTGAGAACTGCTGTACATCTGTGTTGCATGGAGTCACCCAACTTCTGGCACCTGTGAACAGGTATTGCAGCCCAGGATGATTGCACTACATTCCACAGTTCTTCTCTATTTCTTGGTTTTGCCTCAGAAACTGCATTTTTGATGTCACCCTACAAGTTTTCTATTGGATTAAGATCCGGGGATTGGGCTGGCCACTCCATAACGTCAATCTTGTTGGTCTGGAACCAAGATGTTGCATGTTTACTGGTGTGTTTGGGGTCATGGTCTTGTTGGAACACCCATTTCAAGGGCATTTCATCTTCAGCATAAGGCAGCATGACCTCTTCAAGTATTCTGATGTATTCAAACTGATCTATGATCCCTGGTATGCGATAAATAGGCCCAACACCGTAGTATGAAAAACATCCCCATATCATGATGCTTGCACAACCATGCTTCACTGTCTTCACAGTGTACTGTGGCTTGAATTCAGTGTTTGGGGGTCGTCTGAAAAACTGTCTCCGGCCACTAGACCCAAAAAGAACAATCTTACTTTCATCAGTCCACAAAATGTTGCACCATTTCTCTTTAGGCCAGTCAATGTGCTCTTTGGCAAATTGTAACCTCTTCAGCACGTCTTTTTTTCAACAGTGGGACTTTGCGGGGGCTTCTAGCAGATAGCTTGGCTTCACATAGGCGTCTTCTAATTGTAACAGTACTCACAGGTAACTTTACACCTTCTTTGATCTTCCTGGAGCTGACTGTCGGCTGAGTCCTTGCCATTTTGGCTATTCTTCTATCCATTCGAATGTAGTTTTGCGCTTTCTTCCACGTTTTTCAGGTTTTAGTTGCCATTTTAAAGCATTTGCGATCATTTTAGCTGAACAGCCTATCATTTTCTGCACTTCTTTATATGTTTTCCCCACTCCAATCAACTTTTTAATCAAGGTACGCTGTTCTTCTGAACAATGTCTGGAACGACCCATTTTCCTCAGAATTTCAGAGAGAAATGCACTGTAACCAGCATGTACAACATTTGCTGCCTTCCTTCATTAAATAAGGGCAATAATTGTCACCTGTTTTTCAAAGAATGAATGACCTCACTAATAGAACTCCACACTGCTATTATTTTGAACATGCCCCTTTCAATTAGTGATTCAATTACACAGAATCAGCAGCATGCATGTCATGACTGTTGGGTCTGTTAGATTTCTATTACTCTACTACACCTGCTAGTAAATTATTTGCCATGTAGAAATATCATTTCTACCAAAAACAATGATTGATCAGGTTAGTGATGTCTGACTGCTATTATTTTGAACACAACTGTACACAGTTACATTTGTCAAAGCTTAACAATTCTATTTGAATTTCTTCCGACACACAATTCCAGAATTGCTCCATTAAAATTACTGTTTGATTTATCTTAAATATGGCAAACATATAATTGTCTAGAAGTTTCAGTAGAAGTCAGTGGTGATTGGGTTGGAGTGACTGATCTCAGGAATCAGTCTTGGAAGATTTATATTTGCATGGCTGAACAACACTTCAAATTGTTGTTTTTTTTTGTTTGTTTTTTTTAAAGGGGTATCTATTATACACAAAGACATGCTGTTAGGGTAGCAGAGTACGTGTCTAATTTCCGGTTAAAAATAGATTGTTCCCAACATCAGACCTTTAGGTACTGACTGTCTGTGGAAATGCTAAAGGAGAGTTGCAGGCTATGCCATGTTGATTTTAACTACCTCATGAGCATAACCTTCCCACCACCCAATGTCACCAGAACATTTTGCATTTAATTTCGATATATTTTGTTTTTCTATCAAATATATTTTTCATCATTTTGTAATCTATCCTAACATACTGTACATAGTACTTCAAAGTTGTACATACATATTATACATATTTTACATAGGACTTTAGGGGCTCAGTTAGATGGGCATTTCCTGTATCTGACATGCATTTAGATGGCACGACAAACGCAGGTCAGCAAAATCTTACTGACTTTGAGGTCTCATGCACACAATATGTAAAAATCTCTTTTTATTTTCAGCCTCTAAGGGTCCCTCTATGCTAGCCTATGTGTCCATGGGCACATAGGCATTTACAGGCATATTAGAAGAGGTGAGACTAGGGGCTAAAAAAAAAGAGAAAAAAAAAAAAAAAAAAAGACGACACTTGCAGATTCAGGAAGGGAGCTTTTGGCCAGAAAAATGCTAAGAACATTTATGCACAACAGAATGCATTAACGTGTGTGCAATACATGGCTTACAGGAGAAAAGCATTCAGAGCAGCTAAGCAAACACTTAGTGTGTATGAGGCCTAATTAAGGAAAACACATGGCAGTTCTGAGGTTACATCGACCTGCTTTGCATCGTACTGCATTTCTTTAGATGCAGCATAAAGTGTGTTTAAACTTTAGGCAAAGCAGACCAAAAAGTAGCCTTTTCTTGTTGAATATTGCATTTGCCATTTGAACGTATGCATTTGGTTTGAAAAGCAAATGCATGTATTTGAAAAGAAAACTCATCAACATGAATTTTAAAGTGAAGTTTTAGCCACCCCAATAGTCATGTTTAATTTTCCAATGCCCAGTTATGTTTTTATAATTTAATACTAAGAGCTGTAATGCTTTGTATTTGAAATCACTTGCGTCTTTCTCTATTTACAGCCCATGCAAGACAACAGGAGAAAGTCTGTAACCACTGTCTGGAGTGGCCCCTAGGAGTCAGGACAAGGAAACTACCATCACACCTTCAGATATAATCAGGATATTATGTGATATTCAACTATGCAGAAGCATTGTAATTACACTGTATTACAGACTGCTCTAAGAGTAG